TGCTAAATATGACAGTGTGTTGGATATGAAAGGGTGCTGGATATGACAGTGTGTTGGATATGACAGTGTGCTGGATGTGACAGTGTGTTGGATATGACAGTGTGTTGGATATGACAGTGTGCTGGATATGACAGTGTGCTGGATATGATAGTGTGCTGGATATGACAATGTGTTGGATATGACAGTGTGATGGATATGACAGTGTGTTTGATATGACAGTGTGTTGGATACGACAGTGTGCTGGATATGACAGTGTACTGAGTATGACAGTGTGTTGGATATGACAGTGTGCTGGATATGACAGTGTGTTGGATATGACAGTCTGCTGGATATGACAGTGTGCTGGATATGACAGTTGTTACGATATATCGTATCGTGTTATTTCATCGCATAAAGGCACGATTATTAAAGTCATACGTTCATTATTACAGGAAGAACGAGGTTAACAACCATGGAGGTCGTTAACGGTCAGCACGGTATGGCTCGTCCGGTGGCGGAAATTTCTGTTAGCCAATCAGAACCACCGGGCGAGGTAACGTGTGCTGGCCGGAGCATGTGAAGAGACAGACATCTACTCCCCTCCATTGAGTCAACAGGCTGTCGTCGCATTTGGATGTGTGACCAACGGACCCAACTGTTAGTGTGCTCCACCCTCACGAAGGAAGAGGACCTCGAGGCACGGTCGACGTTCTTGAAAGTTATGGAAGATAACAGCTTTGAGATTTAGAGGTCGGCGTGGAGGTAACGCGCTGATTTTCCGAATAGTGGTCCAAAAGTACGGACAAGTGAATTTATAAGTGGAAAGAACAATCGGATAAGAGACGACCATTTCATGGTCGCAGTGTCTCTCTCTCTCTCTCTCTCTCTCTCTATATATATATATATATATATATATATATATATATATATATATATATATATATATATATATATATATATATATATAACTGTACTTGTGTACAATGCACACATATATATATATACATGTAATATAGTGTATATAAGGTGAATAGAGATATATCCGAATATATCCATGATGAAGTTTTATACCATCTTATTTTCTTGTCCTTTGTCAGACCTCAGCACAAAGTGTGTCGCACCTGACAACAGGTCCGGCTGAGGCTGACACCTGTTCAGATTCATGTACCCCGTTGTAGTACAACGAAGCAATCGGATATGAGACGACCACGAAATGGTCGTCTCTTATCCGATTGTTCTTTCCACTTATAAATTCACTTGTCCGTAATTTTGGACCACTATTCGGAAAATCAGCGCATTACCTCCACGCCGACCTCTAAATCTCAAAGCTGTTATCTTCCATAACTTTCAAGAACGTCGACCATGCCTCGAGGTCCTCTTCCTTCGTGAGGGTGGAGCACACTAACAGTTGGGTCCGTTGGTCACACATCCAAACGCGACGACAGCCTGTTGACTCAATGGAGGGGAGTAGATGTCTCATTATATAGATGTGAGTAGATATAATACATGTAAAAATACACCAAATCATTCCTATATTTCATTCGCGCAGTTAATTTAAAGAAAAAACCTATCCAGTCCAAGTGAAACATCATATAGTCTATCACTCTTGTCAAAGGTAATATCATTGGGGATTTCTTCCAGTTCATCCTTATTCTGTTCATTACAGTCTCCTAAATATGAAACCACAAACCCTTCTTTCAAAATTACACCCTTCTTTGGTGTAATTTCCAAAAGAAGTTGATTTTGTAATTGCCTGAGGATTGCCATGTCAAATTTCTTCATTGTTTTCCTGCAATTTACATCAAACATGTCAAAAAATTCTTCTTCATCATCATCTTTTCCATCTTCATTTTCCTCTTATTTTCCATCTTCTTCGCTATCATCTTCATCTATGTAGCTACCTTAATCTTCAGTAACGAAGGAAGAGATTCTCTTGGCACTCTGAGAGGGGTATCTGATAGTACCCTTTCAAAAGGTCAATTTTAGATACGAACTAGGCGTGTCCTATTTGGTCAATACAATCATCAATTCGAGGAATTGGGTACGAATCTGCGATAGTGACCGAATTCACCGAAATGTAATCCGTGCACAACCTATGTGTGCCATCTGGCTTTTTCACCAGTAGACAAGGTGAGCTCCAATCACTGTCGCTCAATTCTGCCAGATCGTTATCCAATAGATATTTTACCTCACGTCGCATAATTTCTCTCTTTTCAGGATTTATTCTATACGGATGTTGCTTTATTGGTCAAGCTCCTCCTACATTTACCTCGTGCGTAATTTCGCGGTGTCGTCGCGGTACGTCAGAGAATAGTGATAGGTATTTCATGAGAATCTCTTCTATGTCCTGCTTCCTTTGATCATCTAAGTATGTCAAGTGTGCATTCATCTCTCGTAATCACTGAGAATTAGAAATTCGGGCTCCATCTGCTCTTTCTAGCCTCTTATGGTTTAATTCCGTAAACTCATTGGAAACTGCACACATTACAGCAGTGTCTAGTTGCCCATCCTCATCTCTATCCCAATACCTTTTCATTAAGTTTACGTGACATATCTGGGATTTTCTCGGTCTGTCAGGCATATGTATTACGTACGTTAAGTCACCAAGTTTCTTCTTGACAATATAGGGTCCACAAAATTTTGAATCATTTACCGTCCCTTTTACAGGTAGATAGACCAATACCTTATCACCTGCATTAAAACTTCTCTTTTTGGTACCTTTGTCGTAATATTTAGCCATGGTCGCTTGAGATATTTTCAAATTTTCCTTCGCCAGCTTTCGCGCCCTGAACAATCTACATTTAAACTTTTGAACATACATTTCCAGATTATCTCTTGAACCTTCAAATGTTAAGCGATCCTTCAACATAACTATAGGACTTCTCACCGTATGCCCATATACTAATTGAAACGGTGTCATGCCTAAGGACTCAACTACTGAATCCCTGATAGCAAACATTATTGGGGCGATGGGGGCCTGTCCGGGAGTGTTTTGAGCAAGACACACTGTGTACACTTGCAGCACCCGTTGCTAGTCATCTAAGTGTCCAGCCAGGTAAAGTTTCATCATGGATCATGTACATGAATTTTTAACAAAAGAGGACCCATTAATTTTGGAGAGCTGTACAAAAGAACAGCTGAAGAAAATCGCCGAACACTATGAGATAGAATTAGTGTCGACTAAAGTGGTCTATATGAGACAAGAACTTGGAAATAAAGTAAGGTCTCGACGCGAAGATGTAGGAGCGGTAGGATTAGATGTGAGTGCAAAGGAAAGTGGGGAATAAGATAATGAGGAAGTGTCTTCTAATTCGTCTCATAGGAGTGGAAGTTTAGAATATGAATTGGAACGTTTGAAACTGGAAGCTCAAATTAAGAGGGAAGAGAGAGAGTTTCAGTTAGAGAAACTGAAATTGGAGCAAGAGAAAGTGCGACTTGAAAGTGAGCAAAAAAACGCGTGTAGAATTAGAAAAGGAGAAAACGAAGCAAATGGAAATCGAAGCAAATAAATTTGTGGCTGCTCAGAGGCGAGGGCGAGAGGTACACTCGGAGAGCACACCTATGCCTGCAGTATATGATCACAAGGCACGTGAAAAGGAGGTTCCGCAATTTTGTCCAGAAGAGTCAGAGTCTTTTTTTGAGCATTTTGAAAAAGTTGCTACACTAAAGCAGTGGCCAGAGGAGGATTGGGCCCAATTGGTGCAAATAAGATTGACTGGGGCAGCGAGAGAGGCCTATACCCAGTTCTCTCTTGAAGATTGTAAAAATTACTGGACTGTGAAAAACAGCGTATTAAGGTCATTTCTACTGACACCTGAAGCTTACCGGAAGCGGTTCAGAGAAATGGTAAAGACACAAAGGAGCACATATGCTGAAACAGCCAGAGATTTGGAACGTAGATTCCAAAGATGGATGGGTTCCGAAACGGTAGAATCTTTCGAAGACTTGAAACAATTGATGTTAATGGAAAAATTCTTGGAGATGGTGACTCCAGACACCAGGTTTAAGGTGCAAGAAGCAGGAATAAAAACACTCTTAGAAGCAGCGGACAAAGCAGATGTAATTACGGAAGCTTACAGAAGTCTCCAGGAATATGAAGAAAAAGGTCACGCAAAGTTGCAGGGTAGTAAAAAACGGTATACGTGGAACAGTAGAGATGGTCGTGGATATACTGGCAAGCCGATAGCCCGACAAAGTCAGGGGTATGTGGAATTTTCTCCGTCGGGAGGTGACGCATTCGAGGGTCAGGCTAGCGCACCCTCGGGTCAGGGAGGAAATACAACGTCTAGATATCGAGGTACAGGACAGTGGAGACGTGGCGAATCCTATTATAATGAACAACGTAGTTCGAGAGGACGAGGATTCTCTTCTCAGGTAATATGCTACACATGTAACAAGCCTGGACACTTAAGTAAAGAGTGTAGGCAAGGCAGAAGAGTGGTGTCCCTCACAGTAAGTAAATACAGAAGTCCTTATATAAATTTAAAGGAGGAATTGCCCCAGGAGAAGATGTCCATTACGAAAGGATATAACCCTTTCATTAGCAAAGGTATGGTGAGCATTGGGGGTCAGCCTGATCAACAAGTCACAATATTACGTGACACAGGAGCGAATCAGAGTTTAATACTGAAAAGCTTGATTCCTGAGTACAGATCTTGTATAAATGGACAAATAATTAAGGTACGGGGTATAAATTCAGAGATGGATATACCTGTGTGTACAGTAAAGCTAACCTCTGATTACTTTACAGATGAAGTGATGTTAGGAGTGTGCTCGGACATACCCGTTCCTGGAGTACATGTCATCTTGGGCAACGATTTGTGTGGCTCAAGTGTGTTGCCAGAGGTACTGCGCAGTGATGTACCAAACGGACATCAAAACAATGTGGAAGATGAAAAATGTAATAACATAACGCTCGCCAGTATTCTGGATGATCCCTCGGAAGATGATAAATAGAAGTATATCCGGCCTGCGTCGTAACCCGAGCGCAGAGTGCTCGACTAAGAGATGTGCCAGAGAGGATGGACGTATCTTCTGCAATGGAGGAGGAAGAGGTGGATCGGATTTGGACTAAAAGGTGAAACAGATTGTTCGAGGAACATGCAGCACCAAGTACAGCGAGAGTGGAAGTAAGACCACAATTACCATCCCACATAAAGGTAAGCAAACCAGAGTTTATAGCTGTCCAGAAATTAGAATTTGAAGAATATATAAAGGAAGCTAAGGGAGGAAATGCTTGTATCACGTCACCCGATTTTCAGAAGCCATTTTTCCTCTTTGTCGATGCAAGTGATGTAGGTGCGGGCGCTGTTTTGACTCAGGACCAAAATGGAACTTGTAAACCAGTGTCCTATTTCTCTAGGAAATTTTTACCTAACCAAAGAGCATATAGTACCGTTGAAAAGGAAACCTTAGCCTTAGTGATGGCGCTACAGCATTTTGAGGTATACGTGGGAGCGGGCATAGGACCTGTTACGGTCTTCACAGTTCATAACCCCCTCGTATTTTTAAATAAAATGAAGAATACCAATCAGCGCCTTACCAGGTGGGCTCTAATATTACAAGACTATAACTGAAATATAGTACACATTAAAGGAAAGGAAAACGTAATGGCTGACGCATTATCCCGTAGTATGGTATAAAGAAAACAGTAGACAGTGTGAAATAAAACGTTTTAGAAAAGAAAATAGTGAAGTGATGAAGGACGGTAGACTTCAGGTAAGTACCTGTGCATCAGCCACACCGTCCAAAGCGGTGTGTTCAGAAAATGTTCATATGTATTTTTTGTATATACTTAAATAAAGATAATTTGTTGTTAAAACAGATTTTGTGTGCAGTCGGAGGCAAAGGAGATCCTGTACGCCAAAGATCAGTGGTCAGTAGGTACGGCACCATGTCTACAAAATGATAAGGTATGTCTGATAAGACATGTCATTACTAGAATGAGTTGAATCTTTGTAGGATGGACGGAAAAGGAATAATGCTACATTCGATAGAGAAAATTAGTGCGGATGCTCCGAAATAACACTCTTTTAAGGAGAGAGGAGTGTTACGATATATCGTATCGTGTTATTTCATCGCATAAAGGCACGATTATTTAAGTCATACGTTCATTATTACAGGAAGAACGAGGTTAACAACCATGGAGGTCGTTAACGGTCAGCACGGTATGGCTCGTCCGGTGGCGGGAATTTCTGTTAGCCAATCAGAACCACCGGGCGAGGTAACGTGTGCTGGCCGGAGCATGTGGAGAGACAGACATCTACTCCCCTCCATTGAGTCAACAGGCTGTCGTCGCATTTGGATGTGTGACCAACGGATCCAACTGTTAGTGTGCTCCACCCTCACGAAGGAAGAGGACCTCGAGGCATGGTCGACGTTCTTGAAAGTTATGGAAGATAACAGCTTTGAGATTTAGAGATCGGCGTGGAGGTAACGCGCTGATTTTCCGAATAGTGGTCCAAAAGTACGGACAAGTGAACTTATAAGTGGAAAGAACAATCTGATAAGAGACGACCATTTCATGGTCGCAGTGTCTCTCTCTCTCTATATATATATATATATATATATATATATATATAACTGTACTTGTGTACAATGCACACATATATATATATACATGTAATATATTGTATATAAGGTGAATAGAGATATATCCGAATATATCCATGATGAAGTTTTATACCATCTTATTTTCTTGTCCTTTGTCAGACTTCAGCACAAAGTGTGTCGCACCTGACAATAGGTCCGGCTGAGGCTGACACCTGTTCAGATTCATGTACCCCGTTGTAGTACAACGAAGCATAGGGTAAACATTCAGAATAAACCTAAATTAAATGTGTTGGGTTGTCAACAGTTCGATCCCAACACAGTGTGCTGGATATGACAGTGTGTTAGATATGACAGTGTGCTGGATATGACAGTGTGCTGGATATGACAGTGTGCTGGATATGACAGTGTGTTGGAAATGACAGTGCGTTGGATATGATAGTGTGCTACATATGACAGTGTGTTGGATATGACAGTGTGTTGGATATGACAGTGTGTGGGATATGACAGTGTGCTGGATATGACAGTGTGTTGGATATGACAGTGTGTTGGATATGACAGTGTGTTGGATATGACAGTGTGTTGGATATGACAGTGTGTTGGATATGACAGTGTGTTGGATATGACAGTGTGCTGGATATGACAGTGTGCTGGATATGACAGTGTGCTGGACATGACAGTGTCCTAGATGTGACAGGGTGCTGGATATGACAGTGTGCTGGATATGACAGTGTGCTAGATATGACAATGTGCTGAATATGACAGTGTGCTGGATATGACAGTGTGTTGGATATGACAGTGTGCTGGTATGTGTCAGTGTGTTGGATATGACAGTGTGTTGGATATGACAGTGTGTTTGATATGACAGTGAGCTGGATGTGACAGTGAGTTGGATATGACAGTGTGTTAGACATGACAAGGTGACTGATATGACAGTGTGCTGGACGTGAGAGTGTGTTGGATATAACATTGTGTTGGATATGACAGTGTGTTGGATATGAGAGTGTGCTGGATATGAGAGTGTGCTGGATGTGACAGTGTGTTGGATATGACAGTGTGTTGGATATGACAGTGTGCTGGATGTGACAGTGAGTGGGATATGACAGTGTGCTGGATATGACAGTATGCTGGATATGAAAGTGTGTTGGATATGACAGTGTGTTGGATGTGACAGTGAATAGGATATGACTGTGTGCTGGATATGACTGTGTGCTGGATATGACAGTATGCTGGATATGAAAGTGTGCTGGATATGACAGGGTGCTGGATATGAAGGTGTTGGATATGACAGTGTGCTAGATATGACAGTGTGCTGGATATGACAGTGTGTTGGATACGACAGTGTGCTGCATATGACAGTGTCCTAGATATGACAGGGTGCTGGCTATGACAGTGTGCTGGATATGACAGTGTGCTGGATATGACAGTGTGCTAGATATAACAGTGAGCTGGATATGACAGTTTGCTGGATATGACAATGTGTTGGATATGACAGTGTGCTGGATATGAGAGTGTGCTGGATATGACAGTGTGTTGGATATGACATTGTGTTGGATATGACATTGTGTTGGATATGACAGTGTGCTGGATGTGACAGTGAGTGTGATATGACAGTGTGCTAGATATGACAGTGTGTTGGATATGACAGTGTGTTGGATATGACAGTGTGTTGGATATGACAGTGTGTTGGATATGACAGTGTGCTGGATATGACAGTGTGCTGGATATGAAGGTGTTGGATATGACAGTGTGCTGGATATGACAGTGTGCTGGATATGACAGTGTGCTAGATATGACAGTGTGCTGGATATGACAGTGTGTTGGATACGACAGTGTGCTGCATATGACAGTGTCCTAGATATGACAGGGTGCTGGATATGACAGTGTGCTGGATATGACAGTGTGCTGGATATGACAGTGTGCTAGATATAACAGTGAGCTGGATATGACAGTTTGCTGGATATGACAGTGTGCTAGATATGACAGTGTGCTAGATATGACAGTGTGCGAGATATGACAGTGTGCTGGATATGACAGTGTGCTAGATATGAGAGTGTGCTTGTATGTGTCAGTGTGTTCGATATGACAGTGTGTTGGATATGACAGGGAGTTCGATATGACAGTGGGTTCGATATGACAGTGTGCTGGATGTTACAGTGAATTGGACATGACAGTGTGTTAGACATGACAAGGTGACTGATATGACAGTGTGCTGGACGTGACAGTGTGTTGGATATAACATTGTGTTGGATATGACAGTGTGTTGGATATGACAGTGTGCTGGATATGAGAGTGTGCTGGATGTGACAGTGTGTTGGATATGACAGTGTGTTGGATATGACAGTGTGCTGGATGTGACAGTGAGTGGGATATGACAGTGTGCTGGATATGTGGGATATGACAGTGTGTGTTAGACATGACAAGGTGACTGATATGACAGTATGCTGGATATGAAAGTGTGTTGGATATGACAGTGTGTTGGATGTGACAGTGAGTAGGATATGACTGTGTGCTGGATATGACAGTATGCTGGATATGAAAGTGTGCTGGATATGACAGGGTGCTTGATATGACAGGGTGCTGGATATGACAGTGTGCTGGATATGACAGTGTGTTGGAAATGACAGTGCGTTGGATATGAAAGTGTGCTAGATATGACAGTGTGTTGGATATGACAGTGTGTTGGAAATGACAGTGTGCTGGATATGACAGTGTGTTGAATATTACACTGTGTTGGATATGACAGTGTGTTGGACATGACAGTGTTGGATATCACAGTGAGCTGGATATGACAGTGTGCTGGATATGACAGTGTGCTGGATATGACAGTGTGCTGAATATTAAATTGTGTGCTGGATATGACAGTGTTGGATATGAGTGTGCTGGATATGACAGTGTGTTGGATATGACAGTGTTGGATACGACAGTGTGCTGGATATGACAGTGTGCTAGATATGACAGCGTGCTGGATATGATAGTTTGCTGGATGTGACAGTTTGTTGGATATGACAGGGTGCTGGATACGACTGTGTGCTGGATGTGACATTGTTGGATATGACAGTGTGTTTGATATGACAGTGTGCTGGAAATGACTGTGTGTTGGAAATGACAGTGTGCTGGATATGACACTGAGTAGGATATGACACTGTTGAATATGACAGTGTGCTGCATATGACAGTGTGTTTGATATGACAGTGGGCTGGATATGACAGGGTGCTGGATATTACAGGGTTTTGAATTTGACAGGGTGCTGGATGTGACAGTTTGTTGGATATGACAGGGTGCTGGATACGACTGTGTGCTGGATGTGACATTGTTGGATATGACAGTGTGCTGGATATGACAGGGTGCTGGATATGACAGGGTGCTGAATTTGACAGGGTGCTGGATATGACAGTGTGTTGGATATGACAAGGTGTTGTATATGACAGTGTTTCGTATATGACAGTGTGCTGGATGTGACAGTGTGCTGGATATGACAGGGTGCTGCATATGACAGTGTTCTGGATGTGAATGTGTTGGATATGACAGTGAGTTGGATATGACAGTGTGATGGATGTGACAGTGTGTTGGATATGACAGTGTGCTGGATATGACAGTGTGCTGGATGTGACCGTGTGTGTGATATGACAATGTGTTGGATATGACAGTGTGTTGGATATGACAGTGTGTAGGATATGACAGTGTGCTGAATATGACAGGGTGTTGGATATGGTAGTGTGTTTGATATGACAGTGTGTTTGATATGACAGTGTGCTGGATATGACATTGGGTTGGATATGACAGTGTGCTGGATATGACAGTGTGTTGGCTATGACAGTGTGTTGGATATGACAGTGTGCTGGTTATGACAGGGTGCTGGATGACAACGTGCTGGATATGACATTGTGCTGAATATGACAGTGTGCTGGATATGACAGTGTGCTGGATATGACAGTATGTTGGATATGACAGTGCGTTGGATATGACAGTGTGCTGGATGTGAGTGTGCTGGATATGAAAGGGTGCTGGATATGATTGTGTTGGATATGACAAGGTGTTAGATATGACAGTGTGTTGGATATGACAGTGTGCTGGATGTGATAGTGTGCTGGATATGACATTGTGTTGGATATGACAATGTGCTGGATATGACAGTGTGCTGGATATGACAATGTGCTGGATATGACAGTGTGTTGGATATGACATTGTGCTGGATATGACAGTGTGTTGGATATGTCACTGTGCTGGATATGACAATGTGCTGGATGTGACAGTGTGCTGGATATGACAGGGTGCTGGATATGACAGTGTGCTGGATGTGACAGTATGCTGGATATGACAGTGTGCTGCATGTGACAGTGTGCTGCATGTGACAGTGTGCTGGATGAGACAGTGTTGGATATGACAGTGTGCTGGATATGACAGTGTTTTGCATGTGACAGTGTGCTAGATGAGTCAGTGTTGCATATGACAGTGTGCTGGATATGTCAGTGTGCTGGATATGACAGGGTGCTGGATATGACAGTGTGTTGGATATGACAGTGTACTGGATGTGATAGTGTGCTGGATATGACAGTGTGTTGGATATGACAGTGTGACTTATATGACAGTGTGCTGGATATGACAGTGTATTGAATATGAGAGTGTGCTGGATATGACGGTGTGTTGGATATGACAGTGTGTTGGATATGACAGTGTTGGATATGATAATGTGCTGGATATGACAGTGTGCTGGATATGACAGTGTGTTGGATATTACAGTGTGTTGCATATAACAGTGTTGGATATGACAGTGTGCTGGATATGACAGTGTGTTGGATATGACATTGTTGGATATGACAGTGTGCTGGATATGACAGTGTGTTGGATATGACAGTTGCTGGATATGACAGTGTGCTGGATATGACAGGGTGCTGGATATGACAGTGTGCTGGATATAACAGTGTGCTGGATATGACAATGTGCTGGATATGACAGTGTGCTGGATATGACAGTGTGCTGGATATGACAGTGTGCTGGATATGACAGTGTGCTGGATATAAATAAGTTAGCGGCTGTAATGTTTTCCTAGGCAGCGTAGTTTATATTATAATGCAGTAAATAAAAAACAATATAAATACCTCTTAACTGAGAAATATGGATGCGGGTAGTTCCTCTTGCAATAGGAGAAAATATTTGGACTCGTATATTGTAGCACAAGTTAAACTACTGACAGTATTCACCAACACACTCTGACTGACAGAGACAACTCGCGCCTCAGGAACATCTGTCTACTGACAAGCAAGCGGCGCGCGTCACGAACACCAACTGACTGCAGGAGACAACCTGCACGCGTCAGGGCCACTTGACTACTGACTGGCACCGAGACGCCGCCAAATCCGTTCGCCTAAGCTCCTGGAAGCGTTTTCAATCCGCCCGTTTTCTATTTCATGGCAAGACTTTCGTAATATATTTTCTCTTTTCCTTCTGGGTCACAATATTACAGCTCGACCACAACAGTGCAACCAGCTGCATGTCTGAAATAACTACTTGAGTTACAGAATGGACCTGAGTTTCCATCGCCCTGCGAGCGTTTTCTAGTCAGAGAAATGCTACTAGATGCTAAGCCCAAAACCAGATTAAGAGTATGGAGAATGTACTCAGACAGAGGTCCGCTTCTCTGTACACAAACATTGTCTCCTTCGTCCTGGACGATGGTCACAACTAATGTATGTTAGCAGGTTGTTAGTAAACACTAGGTAAAACCCCCCTAGAGGGTCATAAACCCCCTCCCCAGAGGGTCATAACCCCCCCAGAGGGTCATAAGCCCCCCCAAAGGGTGATAACCCTCCTAAGGACAATATATCCTAAGCCCAACCAACGTAACAATACAAAAATCAGACATGGCAAAAGTTGTGCTCCAGTTTTCAATGTATAGCAGGGGTGGCCCAGCTGGCTTCTTCTAAGAGCCACAGATGGTGTATATAGCAGGGGGTGGCCCAGCTGGCTTACTATAAGAGCCAGATGGTGTATATAGCAGGGGGTGGCCCAGCTGGCTTACTATAAGAGCCAGGTGGTGTATATAGCAGGGGTGGCCCAGCTGGCTTACTATAAGAGCCAGATGGTGTATATAGCAGGGGGGTGGCCCAGCTGGCTTACTATAAGAGCCACAGATGGTGTATATAGCAGGGGTGGCCCAGCTGGCTTACTATAAGAGCCAGATGGTGTATATAGCAGGGGTGGCCCAGCTGGCTTACTGTAAGAGTCACAGATGGTGTATATAGCAGGGGGGGGGGTGGCCCAGCTGGCTTACTATAAGAGCCACAGATGGTGTATATAGCAGGGGTGGCCCAGCTGGCTTACTGTAAGAGTCACAGATGGTGTATATAGCAGGGGGGGGTGGCCCAGCTGGCTTACTATAAGAGTTACATATGGGAAATTTTACTCACTATATATCAATATTATTATCTAAGAAATGTATTATTTCTGTATCATATCAGAATTATATCCGAATCACTTCAGATTCATTAAATCCTACTTCTGAATCCTACATAACAATGATCCTACTTCTGAATCCTACATGACAATGATCCTACTTCTGAATCCTACATAACTTGTGGGGTTTTCTATTTTGCTTTCCCGACTGCAATGCGTACGTCGCCAATGTACATGTGGCAGACGCTTCACGAAGCTGTCGGAATCAGCAGAGAAAATACGAGAGCAACCGTACAGGGCCTGGGAGCAAGGTCGAGTTAGAGTCCTTGAGGGTCTCTTCTCAGACTAGCCTCACCTGGTCCTGGTCCACGTTGATCGTTGGAATCTCCTCAATGATTTAACACTTTAAGGGACTCCTAGGGTCCTCATCACATTTATAGTTTAGTGAATAATAGGCAACTCGGTGTTGAAGACACCTGGAGCTGAAGGCTTGAGTAATAGTTGGCAGTATTCAGAAGTGGTTCAACGGAAACACCGCATAAAGCTTAACAGTAGTTTATTTACTAACTTAACCACTAATACAAAGGGTGCTTGATTTACTTTAGATTGGCGTCAGAAAGGCTGTGGTTGTATTAGCGAGACTCTTGACGTCTGGCTAAACGACTCGTATCCACTCGTGGAGAAACACCTAACTTAACACAGTTGACAGCCAATCATTAACACGGCAACCTAACTGCCGGTGTGCAAAGGGATCACAAGAGTTCCAACCGGATACTCGGGTAATGATGATGCGCAATAAATCACAATGGCACTGTCAATGGGACAGGTAATAACATGCACAATAATAATGTCACACAATAACTAAATGTGTGGTGTATGTGAAGCTCACATTCACAGACGAGTGTAATGTCGCTGTACCACACAGATAAACACGCATACACCGTCGGGTGTCTAGGTCTCCACCTATACCTGTGTCAGGTATAAGAATGTGAGAACTGTGGTTGATCCCTCAGATCAACACAGACAGACACAATAATACAATAACAAGATCTTGTACTTACAGGTAGGCTACCTCTCTTATTCACTCACTCACTCGGGCACATTTATGCAAGAACTCGTAGGTGGCCTGACAGCTGGTTTCGCTCGTTCTGACGTGAGACCATTGGCGACAGGCTTTCCCACAAACCGTACTTGACACGGAGGATACTCGCAGGAGGGTGAGGTGTATGTCTAACAGACACACACACACACACTTGATGGCACTGGCGGTGAGTAAGGTGGTGACGTCACGTAGTACAGTGAGGCAGGGCGGCTGGCGGCTCGAGGCTAGCTACACGCTCTGGACAGTGGCGGCTGGCGGCTCGAGGCTAGCTACACGCTCTGGACAGTGGCGGCTGGCGGCTGCAGGTTATATGGTACCATGCGGTACACTGTGGTAAAGTCACTCACAGGTTACTTAGGCAGCGGCACTCCTTAGTTCACTCTAGGTCACTCACAACGATCTCAATTTGTCACCAGGGGTTACCTGATACCAGTCTGTTTCGCTCTGGTGATTTGTCACTAGGCTTCTAAACAATATAGTCACGATCGCGATTCCAGGCGAGCGTTGGTATATCGAAAAGACGCTGAGTTTAACTTGACGGTGAGGAATGGACGGTGTTCAGTCTATTGGCCGATAGACAGAACAGGACACGTCCTCTATGTACGGGCTGCCTCACGTGAATATCCTTGCAAGAAAATGCAGGGCTCCTCGTGGGGCACAAATACAAGGGGTTACAATTGACCAATGGCATTGCAGCAAAAGAGCGGGAACCAATCATATTGATCGTTCCATGATCAGTAGCAGAGGTGACGTCATGAACACGTCACGACCACGTCACAGTTGTTATTCTCCATCGCGCCGGTTGAGGCTGACCCCAGAGGTCAGATCTGTCGCCTCGCTGGCGTCCCCTCTCTCTCTCACGCCTGGCACCTCCTATGTACTCACTGACCCTGTGGCAAGTATGCTTAACTTCCCTGTATCTACTCCCTGCCTGGACATACGGCGGCCTCCGTATTATAAACGTATTCCTGGTTAAGTGGGCATCCTGGAGATACCCAACATGACAGTTTACTATCCAGGGTTAACAGAGATAGGGCTTGTGCACGAGATCGGTGCACTGTGCACTGCAATGAGCCATTCAAGTCAGCTGTGGGATAATCTTGAGAGACCATCCTCTCACAGCCATGAGTAATCTCTAGATACTGGGAGAGTTCCTAGACTAAATATATATAAGGAAAATTTCTAATACTTTTATCTAAATACTAGTGTAGAGTGGCTCGACTTGAAGCCTCTTCCACCACCTCATATCCTAGCAAAGCTCCTAGAATTCTCACCAACAAAGCTGTGACATCAAAATACAGAGCACCTGGGTGTGAGCCCGTGGGGCAGGTGGTGGGTGTGAGCCCGTGGGGCGGGTGGTGAGTGTGAGCCCGTGGGGCGGGTGGTGGGTGTGAGCCCGTGGGGCGGGTGGTGGGTGTGAGCCCGTGGGGCGGGTGGTGAGTGTGAGCCCGTGGGGCGGGTGGTGGGTGTGAGCCCGTGGGGCGGGTGGTGGGTGTGAGCCCGTGGGGCGGGTGGTGGGTGTGAGCCCGTGGGGCGGGTGGTGGGTGTGAGGCCGTGGGGCGGGTGGTGGGTGTGAGCCCGTGGGGCGGGTGGTGGGTGTGAGCCCGTGGGGCGGGTGGTGGGTGTGCAGGTGAACACCTGTGAACAATACGTGTCTGACAACCACTCCCACGTGTCATTGTTCTCCAACACCTGCGACAGTCCCACGTGTTGCCTGAACTCTCTCTCTAGTGTGTGTGTGTGTGTGTGTGTGTGTGTGTGTGTGTGTGTGTGTGTGTATGTGTGTGTGTGTGTGTGTGTTTTCACCTAGATGCTTATACGAGAGTCGGATTACAGCTGTTGGGTCCCGGCTTTTAATCTTTAGTCGTCTGTGGTACTGGTTCCAGTATCTTTGTAATTCGTTTAGATAATCTACCTTTTCTTCTTGTTGTTGTTGTTTATGATTCGCTACCAGAAACAAAAAGTTCCAAGTAGCACGGGCTATGGTGAGCCCGTAGTACCTTTTCTTCTTCATTTTCAAGTCATTCTACTTCTTTAATGCTTTAAAATTGCGGATAATTTTTCTTATATCCCTATAGCGTCTTTGAGACTTCTCAAAGTCTCCATCTGCCTTAAAAAGCCTTTATTGCCTACCTTTATGAATTTTTCTATGTATTTTGTATGTCGTGATAATGCCTCTACTTCGTGACTCTGACCTCTTTAACTACTTTGGTTTCATTTCTCTGTACTTTCTCCAGCTTCATTAATAAAAATGGCGGCAAAAAATTTATTCAAACAATGCAGAAAAATTAAACTTCTTTTACAAGTGAAGTGAATATTGTCAGCTGCTCTAAAGTGGTGAGAGATGTCGAGCTCTGAGCGCACCGTTTTATATCTGTTATAACCTGATATCTGGTACAACCTGATATCTGGTACAAGTGGTAAAAAATATCAGCAGCAACATTGGAATATTGAGATTATGAATTGGGAAGAGAACATGAGTTAAGATAAGCATAGATATAAAACTAATCAATAATTATCATATGTATTCAGAATATGGCTGAATACATGGGGATACTCGGCGGTGCCCGGGTTTACCGAGTGCCCGGGCCTCTCCAACACACCCTAGGTGTGTTGGAGAAGCCACACCACACACAACCTATCCATCTGCCCCTACAAACACCATCCCCAGCTCTTCCAACATACTCCTAGTCACCCCATCCCCCCCTCCTTTCCACACCTTCCCTATCTCACCTCATCACTGCAACCAATTTCACAACAGTACCTTCATCACAGTAAGCATCTTTGTACCGTACCCTTCTACACAGACACTCCCCTGTCTCCCTCCACACATACCCTCCCTATATTCCTCTATCATTATAACAATTTTCACTACACATTATCTTTATCACTGTAATTAAAAGGCTGTGCCCAGAACACCAATCTGTTATCTGAATATTTGTTTTGAAAAGTCATTATCCGAATACACTTATATTTAAGTAAATGCTAAACTCTATGGACTATGCGGTGAATGTTTCATATCCACATTCCGCACAAAGGGGGGGAGAAGAGGCCGAGTCCCATTTAAGGGGTGGCAAAGGGGCTGAGACTCAGCATAAAATAACCGATTTTCAAGCAAAGTTACGTGACGAAAGCTCCAAGTTACGTGAGGCCAGACCTAAGTTACGTGAGGCCAGCCCCAAGTTACGAGAGGCCAGCCCCAAGTTATGTGAGACCAGCCCCAAGTTGAGGTCAGCCCCAAGTTACGTGAGGCCAGCCCCAAGTTACGTGAGACCAGCCCCAAGTTGAGGCCAGCCCCAAGTTACATGAGGCCAGACCCAAGTTACGTGAGGCCAGCCCCAAGTTACGTGAACCCAGCCCCAAGTTACGTGAGAACAGCCCCAAGTTGAAGTCAGCCCCAAGTTACGTGAGGCCAGCCCCAAGCTACGTGAGACCAGCCCCAAGTTGAGGCCAGTCCCAAGTTACATGAGGCCAGCCCCAAGTTACGTGAGACCAGCCCCAAGTTACGTGAGGCCAGCACCAAGTTACATTAGGCCAGCCCAACGTTACATGAGGCGAGCCCAAAGTTACGTGAGGCCAGCTCCAAGTTACGTGAGACAAGCCCCAAGTTACATGAGGAAAGCCACAAGTTACGTGAGGCCAGCCCCAAGTTACGTGAGGCCAGCCCCAAGATGAGGCCAGCCCCAAGTTATGTAAGGCCAGCCCCAAGTTGAGACCAGCCCCAAGTTACATAAGGCCAGCCCGAGGTTGAGGCCAGCCCCAAGTTACGTGAGGCCAGCCCTAAGTTACGTGAGGCCAGCCCCAAGTTACGTGAGGCCAACCCCAAGTTATGTGAGGCCAGACTCAAGTTACGTGAGGCCAGCCCCAATTTACGTGAGGCCAGCCCCAAGTTGCGTGAGGCCAGCCCCAAGTTACGTGAGACCAGCCCCAAGTTATTTGAGACCAGCCCTAAGTTGTGTGACGCCAGCCCCACGTTACGTGAGACCAGCCTCAAGTTGAGGCCAGCCCCAAGTTACATAAGGCCAGCCCGAGGTTGAGGCCAGCCCCAAGTTACGTGAGGCCAGCCCTAAGTTACGTGAGGCCAGCCCCAAGTTACGTGAGGCCAACCCCAAGTTACGTGAGGCCAGACTCAAGTTACGTGAGGCCAGCCCCAATTTACGTGAGGCCAGCCCCAAGTTGCGTGAGGCCAGCCCCAAGTTACGTGAGACCAGCCCCAAGTTATTTGAGACCAGCCCTAAGTTGTGTGAGGCCAGCCCCAAGTTACGACGTGAGACCAGACTCAAGTTGAGGCCAGCCCCAAGTTACGTGAGGCCAGCCCCAAGTTACGTGAGGCCTGACCCAAGTTACGTGAGGCCAGCCCCAAGTTACGTGAGGCCCAACCCATGTTACTTGAGGGCAGCCCCAAGTTACATAAGTCCAGCCCCAAGTTACGTGAGACCATCCCCATGTTACGTGAGGCCAGACCCATGTTACTTGAGGGCAGCCCCAAGTTACGTGAGGCCAGCCCCAAGTTACGTGAGGCCAGCCCCAAGTTACGTAAGGCCAGCCCCAAGTTGAGACCAGCCCCAAGTTACATAAGGCCAGCCCGAGGTTGAGGCCAGCCCCAAGTTACGTGAGGCCAGCCCTACCTTGAGGCTACCTTGAGGTGCTTCCGGGGCTTAGTGTCCCCGCGGCCCGGTCGTCGACCAGGCCTCCTGGTTGCTGGACTGATCAACCAGGCTGTTAGACGCGGCTGCTCGCAGCCTGACGTATGAGTCACAGCCTGGTTGATCAGGTATCCTTTGGAGGTGCTTATCCAGTTCTCTCTTAAACACTGAGGGGTTTGCCAGTTATGCCCCTTATGTGTAGTGGAAGCGTGTTGAACAGTCTCGGGCCTCTGATGTTGATAGAGTTCTCTCTCAGAGTACCTGTTGCACCTCTGCTTTTCAACGGGGGTATTCTGCACATCCTGCCATGTCTTCTGGTCTCATGTGGTGTTATTTCTGTGTGCAGGTTTGGGACCAGCCCCTCAATTATTTTCCACGTGTAAATTATTATGTATCTCTCCCGCCTGCGCTCAAGGGAGTACAGATTTAGGCTCTTTAGTCGGTCCCAGTAATTTAGATGTTTTACTGAGTGGATTCTAGCAGTAAAGGATCTCTGCACGCTCTCTAGGTCAGCAATTTCTCCAGCTTTGAAAGGGGCTGTCATTGTGCAGCAGTACTCCACTCTAGAGAGCACAAGCGTTTTGAAAAGTATCATCATCGGTATAGCATCTCTAGTGTGAAAAGTTCTTGTTATCCAACCTGTCATTTTTCTTGCAGGTGCGACGGCTACTTTATTGTGTTCTTTAAAGGTAAGGTCTTCCGACATGAGTACACCCAGGTCCTTTACATTGCCTTTTCGTTCTATGTTATGATTTGCCTGCGTTTTGTACGTGGTTTCTGTTTTTATATTTTCAATTTTTCCGTAGCGCATGAGCTGAAACTTATCCTCGTTGAATACCATATTATTTTCTGTAGCCCATAGAAAGACCTGATCTACATCTGATTGGAGGTTTGCCGTGTCCTCTATGTTGCCAACTCTCATGAAAATCCTAGTGTCATCTGCAAAGGATGATACAGTGTTATAGGTTGTGTTCTGATCTATGTCCGATATGAGGATGAGAAAAAGTACTGGAGCAAGCACAGTACCCTGGGGGACTGAGCTCTTCACGGTTGATGGGCTGGATTTTATTTTGTTGACTATTACACATTGGGCTCTGTCAGTCAGGAAATTGTAGATCCATCTGCCTATTTTCCCGGTAATTCCTTTTGAACGCATTTTATGTGCAATAACACCATGGTCACATTTATCAAAAGCTTTTGCGAAATCTGTGTAAATTACATCAGCGTTTTGTTTGTCTTCCATAGCATCTAATGCCATATCATAGTGGTCCAGCAACTGCGACAGGCAAGAGCGCCCTGTTCTGAAACCATGTTGTCCGGGGTTATGGAGATGCCGTGATTCCATGTATTTTGTGATCTTACTTCTAAGGCCCTAAGTTACGTGAGGCCAGCCCCAAGTTACGTGAGGCCAACCCCAAGTTACGTGAGGCCAGACTCAAGTTACGTGAGGCCAGCCCCAATTTACGTGAGGCCAGCCCCAAGTTGCGTGAGGCCAGCCCCAAGTTACGTGAGACCAGCCCCAAGTTATTTGAGACCAGCCCTAAGTTGTGTGAGGCCAGCCCCAAGTTACGTGAGACCAGCCTCAAGTTGAGGCCAGCCCCAAGTTACGTGAGGCCAGCCCCAAGTTATGTGAGGCCAGACCCATGTTACGTGAGGCCAGCCCCAAGTTACGTGAGGCCAGCCCCAAGTTGCGTGAGGCCAGCCCCAAGTTACGTGAGACTAGCCCCAAGTTACGTGAGACCAGCCCCAAGTTACGTGAGGCCCAACCCATGTTACTTGAGGGCAGCCCCAAGTTACATAAGTCCAGCCCCAAGTTACGTGAGACCAGCCCCATGTTACGTGAGGCCAGACCCATGTTACTTGAGGGCAGCCCCAAGTTACGTGAGGCCAGCCCCAAGTTACGTGAGGCCAGCCCCAAGTTACGTGAGGCCAGCCCCAAGTTACGTGAGGCCAGCCCCAAGTTATAGGAGGCCAGTCCTAAATTACGTGAGGCCAGGCTCAAGTTACGTGACGCCAGCCCCAAGTTACGTGAGGCCAGCCCCAAGGTACGTGAGGCCAGCCCCAAGCTACGCGAGGCCAGCCCCACGTTAAGTGAGGCCAGCCCCACGTTAAGTGAGGCCAGCCCCACGTTGTGTGAGGCCCGCCCCAAGTTACGTGAGGCCAGCCCCAAGTTACGTGAGGCCAGCCCCAAGTTACGTGAGGCCAGCCCCACGTTAAGTGAGGCCAGCCCCACGTTACGTGGGGCCAGCCCCAAGTTACGTGAGGCCAGCCCCAAGTTTAGTGAGGCCAGCCCCAAATTACGTGAGGCCAGCCCCAAGTTACGTGAGGCCAGCCCCAACTTATGTGAGGCCAGCCCCACGTTTAGTGAGGCTAGCCCCACGTTACGTGAGGCCAGCCCCAAGTTACGTGAGGCCAACCCCAAGTTACGTGAGGCCAACCCCAAGTTACGTGAGGCCAGCCCCAAGTTACGTGAGGCCAGCCCCAAGTTACGTGAGGCCAGCCCCAACTTATGTGAGGCCAGCCCCACGTTAAGTGAGGCCAGCCCCAAGTTACGTGAGGCCAGCCCCAAGTTATGTGCGGCCAGCCCCACGTTACGTGAGGCCAGCCCCAAATTACGTGAGGCCAGCCCCCAAGTTACGTGAGGCCAGTCCCAAGTTATGTGAGGCCAGCCCCAAGTTACGTACTCACCTAGTTGTACTGACCTAGTTGTGTTTGCGGGGGTTGAGCTTTGGCTCTTTGGTCCCGCCTCTCAACCGTCAATCAACTGGTGTACAGATACCTGAGCTCTATCATATCTACACTTGAAACTGTGTATGGAGTCAGCCTCCACCACATCACTTCCTAATGCATTCCATTTGTCAACCACTCTGACACTAAAAAAAGTTCTTTCTAATATATCTGTGGCTCATTTGGGCACTCAGTTTCCACCTGTGTCGCCTTGTGCGTGTGCCCCTTGTGTTACATAGCCTGTCTTTATCTACCCTATCAATTCCCTTCAGAATCTTGAATGTGGTGATCATGTCCCCCCTAACTCTTCTGTCTTCCAGCGAAGTGAGGTTTAATTCCCGTAGTCTCTCCACGTAGCTCATACCTCTCAGCTCGGGTACTAGTCTGGTGGCAAACCTTTGAACCTTTTCCAGTTTAGTCTTATCCTTGACTAGATATGGACTCCGTGCTGGGGCTGCATACTGCAGGATTGGCCTGAAATATGTGGTATACAAAGTTCTGAACGATTCTTTACACAAGTTTCTGAATGCCGTTCGTATGTTGGCCAGCCTGGCATATGCCGCTGATGTTATCCTGTTGATATGTGCTGCAGGAGACAGGTCTGGCGTGATATCAACCCCCAAGTCTTTTTCTTTCTCTGACTCCTGAAGAATTTCCTCTCCCAGATGATACCTTGTATCTGGCCTCCTGCTCCCTACACCTATCTTCATTACATTTCATTTGGTTGGGTTTAACTCTAACAACCATTTGTTCGACCATTCCTTCAGCTTGTCTAGGTCTTCTTGAAGCCTCAAACAGTCCTCTTCTGTTTTAATCCTTCTCATAATTTTAGCATCGTCCGCAAACATTGAGAGAAATGAATCGATACCCTCCGGGAGATCATTTACATATATCAGAAACAAGATAGGACCGAGTACAGAGCCCTGTGGGACTCCACTGGTGACTTCACGCCAATCGTCTCACCCCTCACCGTAACTCTCTGCTTCCTATTGCTTAGGTACTCCCTTATCCACTGGAGCACCTTACCAGCTACACCTGCCTGTCTCTCCAGCTTATGTACCAGCCTCTTATGTGGTACTGTGTCAAAGGCTTTCCGACAATTCAAGAAAATGCAGTCCGCGCAGCCCTCTCTTTCTTGCTTAATCTTTGTCACCTGGTCGTAGAATTCTATTAAGCCAGTCAGGCAAGATTTACCCTCCCAGAACCCATGTTGGCGATTTGTCATGAAGTCCCTTCTCTCCAGATGTGTTACCAGGTTTTTTCTCACGATCTTCTCCAACACCTTGCATGGCATACAAGTCAAGGACACTGGCCTGTAGTTCAGTGCCTCTTGCCTGTCGCCCTATTTGTATATTGGGACCACATTCGCCGTCTTTCATATTTCTGGTAGGTCTCCCGTCTCCAGTGACTTACTATACACTATGGAGAGTGGCAAGCAAAGTACCTCTGCACACTCTTTCAGTACCCATGGTGAAATCCTGTCTGGACCAACAGCCTTTCTAACATCCAGATCCAGCAGGTGTCTCTTGACCTCTCTTGTAATTTCGAACTCTTCCAAGGCCGCCTGGTTTACCTTCCTTTCTCCTAGCACGGTGACCTCACCTTGTTCTATTGTGAAGACCTCCTGGAACCTCTTGTTGAGTTCTTCACACACCTCTTTGTCATTCTCTGTATACCTGTCGTGAGGCCAGCCCCAAGTTACGTGAGGCCAGCCACAAGTTACGTGAGGCCAGCCTCAAGTTATGTAAGGACAGCCCCAAGTTATGTGAGGCCAGCCCCAAGTTACGTGAAGCCATCCCCCACGTTACGTGAGGCCAGCCCCACGTTACGTGAGGCCAGCCCCAAGTTACGTGAGGCCAGCCCCAAGTTACGTGAGGCCAGCCCCACGTTACGTGAGGCCAGCCTCACGTTACGTGAGGCCAGCCCCAAGTTACGTGAGGCCAGACCCAAGTTACGTGAGGCCAGACCCAAGTTACGTGAGGCCAACCCCTAGCTCTAGTGAGGACATATACATACTAGAGCAACCTTGCAACATATACCCACTAGAGCAGCTTTGCAACATATTCACATATGCCAATTTCCTGAATTTGTGCCTTCAGGGAATTATAGTGTTATAGCAATATAGCACGAAGATCAGAAACACTTCAGTCCTCTCACAACTGACAGCTGTTCTCAGTAAAATAGAATTGAAATGTTATCAATGATATTATTATTGAGTAACTGATAATCTTGAATGACACAATCAGGACCAATGTCCCTGATCTTTATCAGCAAGGGAAGAATACATGGATCTTGAGACTTGTTTCTGTGGAAGATGTCACTGAGAACACTGATGTTTCTGTGAAAGATGTCACTGAGGACACTGATGTTTCTGTGAAAAATGTCATTGAGGACACTCCTGTTTCTGTCAGATTTGAGTTTCTTTCGTTACGTGACGAAGGAACATCGCAAATATATAATGAGAAAGCTTGACCTTGCGAGGAAAGCTTGTGAAAGCATACCCAAGTATGCATACTCACAGTGAAAATCATAAATATAAAACAAAATGCTTATTGATGATGAAATGTGTACCGTGTCATGCATAGAAAAATGTATTAAAGATCTACAATACTGCTTCCATCATCATACAAATTTTTGTCTGACGATATGTGTGTCTTTGTGAAATCATTGATTTATTTACCTAATGAAGCCTTAGAACATATTCACACTAGAGCAACCTCGGAACATATTCATACTAGAGCAACCTTGGAACATATACACACTAGAGCAACCTTGGAACATATACACACTAGAGCAACCTTGGAACATATACACACTAGAGCAACCTTGGAGCATATACACACTAGAGCAACCTTGGAGTATATTCACATTAGAGCAACCTTGGAACATATTCACACTAGAGCAACCTTGGAATATATGCACACTAGAGCAGCCTTGGAGCATATACACACTAGAGCAACCTTGGAACATATACACACTAGAGCAACCTTGGAACATATACACACTAGAGCAACTTTGGAACATATACACACTAGAGCAACCTTGGAACATATTCATACTAGAGCAACCTTGGAACATATTCACACTAGAGCAACCTTGGAACATATACACACAAGAGCAACATTGGAACATATTCACACTAGAGCATCCTTGGAACATATACACACTAGAGCAACCTTGGAACATATACCCACTAGAGCAACCTTGGAACATATACAAACTAGAGCAGCCTTGGAACATATACACACTAGAGCAGCCTTGGAACATATACACACTAGAGCAACCTTGGAGCATATACACACTAGAGCAACCTTGGGACATATACACACTAGAGCAGCCTTGGAGCATATACACACTCTGTACTTGGACCTATCCTGTTTCTGATATACGTATATGATCTCCCAGAGGGTATAGACTCATTCCTCTCAATGTTTGCTGACGACGTCAAAATTATGCGAAGGATTAAGACAGAGGAGGACAGCTTGAGGCTTCAAGAAGACCTGGACTAGCTGCAGGAATGGTCAAACAAATGGCTGTTAGAGTTTAACCCAAGCAAATGTAATGTAATGAAGATAGGCGTAGGGAGCAGGAGACCAGTTACAAGGTATCATTTGGGAGATGAAATACTTCAAGAGTCAGAGAGAGAGAGAGAAAGAACTGGGGGTTGATATCACGCCAGACCTGTCCCCTGAAGCTCATATCAAGAGGATAACATCAGCAGCATATGCCAGGTTGGCTAACATAAGAACGGCCTTTAGAAACTTGTGTAAGGAACCATTCAGAACATTATATACCACATATGTCAGACCAATCCTGGAGTATGCGGTTCCAGCATGGAGTCCATATCTAGTCAACCATAAGACTAAACTGGAAAAGGTTCAAAGGTTTACCACCAGACTAGTACCCGAGCTGAAAGGTATGAGCTACGAGGAGAGACTACGGGAATTAAACCTCACTTCGTTGGAAGACAGAAGAGATCGGGGGGCGACATGATCACCACATTCAAGATTCTCAAGGGAATCGACAAGGTAGATAAAGACAGGCTATTTAACACAAGGGGCACACGCACTAGGGGACACAGGTGGAAACTGAGTGCCCAAATGAGCCACAGAGATATTAAAAAGAACTTTTTTAGTGTCAGAGTGATTGACAAATGGAATGCATTAGGAAGTAATGTGGTGGAGGCTGACTCCATACACAGTTTCAAGTGTAGATAGGATAGAGCCCAATAGGCTCAGGAACCTGTACACCTGTTGATTGACGGTTGAGAGGCGGGACCAAAGAGCCACAGCTCAACCCCCGCAAGCACAACTAGGTGAGTACAACTAGGTGAGTACAACACTAGAGTAACCTTGGAACATTTTCACACTAGAGCAACCTTGGAACATATACACACTAGAGCAGCCTTGGAACATATACACACTAGAGCAGCCTTGGAACATATTCACACTAGAGCAACCTTGGAATATATTCACACTAGAGCAACCTTGGAACATATACACACTAGAGCAACCTTGGAACATATACACACTAGAGCAACCTTGGAACATATACACACTAGAGCAACCTTGGAACATATACACACTAGAGCAACCTTGGACCATATACACACTAAAGCAACCTTGGAACATATACACACTAGAGCAGCCTTGGAACATATTCACACTAGAGCAACCTTGGAATATATTCACACTAGAGCAACTTTGGAACATATACACACTAGAGCAGCCTTGGAACATATTCACACTAGAGCAACCTTGGAATATATTCACACTAGAGCAACCTTGGAACATATACACACTAGAGCAACCTTGGAACATATACACACTAGAGCAGCCTTGGAACATATACACACTAGAGCAACATTGGAGCATATACACACTAGAGCAACCTTGGAACATATTCACACTAACGCAAACTTGGAACATATACACACTAGAGCAACTTTGGAAAATATTCACACTAGCGCAAACTTGGAACATATACACACTAGAGCAACCTCGGAACATATTCACACTAGCGCAAACTTGGAACATATACACACTAGATTAGCCTTGGAACATATTCACACTAGAGCAACTTTGGAACATATTCACACTAGAGCAACCTTAAAACATATTCACACTACAGCAACCTTGGAGCATATACACACTAGAGCAGCCTTGGAACATATTCACACTAGAGCAAACTTGGAACATATACACACTAGAGCAACTTGGAGCATATACCCACTAGAGCAGCCTTGGAACATATTCACACTAGAGCAGCCTTGGAACATATACACACTAGAGCAGCCTTGGAACATATACACACTAGAGCAACCTTGGAACATATACACACTAGAGCAGCCTTGGAACATATACACACTAGAGCAGCCTTGGAACATATTCACACTAGAGCAACCTTGGAATATATTCACACTAGAGCAACCTTGGAACATATACACACTAGAGCAACCTTGGAACATATACACACTAGAGCAACCTTGGAACATATACACACTAGAGCAACCTTGGAACATATACACACTAGAGCAACCTTGGACCATATACACACTAAAGCAACCTTGGAACATATACACACTAGAGCAACCTTGGAACATATACACACTAGAGCAACTTTGGAAAATATTCACACTAGCGCAACCTTGAAAAATATTCACACTAGCGCAAACTTGGAACATATTCACACTAGAGCAACTTTGGAACATATTCACACTAGAACAACCTTGAAACATATTCACACTAGAGCAGCCTTGGAACATATTCACACTAGAGCAACCTTAAAACATATTCACACTACAGCAACCTTGGAGCATATACACACTAGAGCAGCCTTGGAACATATTCACACTAGAGCAAACTTGGAACATATACACACTAGAGCAGCCTTGGAACATATTCACACTAGCGCAACCTTGGAACATATTCACACTAGCGCAAACTTGGAACATATACACACTAGAGCAGCCTTGGAACATACTCACACTAAAGCAACCTTGGAACATATTCACACTAGTGCAAACTTGGAACATATTCACACTAGAGCAGCCTTGGAACATATTCTCACTAGAGCAACTTTGGAACATATTCACACTAGAACACCCTTGGAACATATTCTCACTAGAGCAACCTTGGAGCATATACACACTAAAGCAACCTTGGAACATATTCACACTAGAACAACCTTGGAGCATATACACACTAAAGCAACCTTGGAGCATATACACACTAGAGCAGCCTTGGAACATATACACACTAGAGCAACCTTGGAGCATATACACACTAGAGCAACCTTGGAGCATATACACACTAGAGCAACCTTGGAACATATACACACTAGAGCAACCTTGGAACATATACACACTAGAGCAACCTTGGAACATATACACACTAGAGCAACCTTGGAACATATACACACTAGAGCAACCTTGGAACATATACACACTAGAGCAACCTTGGAACATATACACACTAGAGCAACCTTGGAACATATACACACTAGAGCAACCTTGGAACATATACACACTAGAGCAACCTTGGAACATATACACACTAGAGCAACCTTGGAACATATACACACTAGAGCAACCTTGGAACATATACACACTAGAGCAACCTTGGAACATATACACACTAGAGCAACCTTGGAACATATACACACTAGAGCAACCTTGGAACATATACACACTAGAGCAACCTTGGAACATATACACACTAGAGCAACCTTGGAACATATACTCACTAGAGCAACCTTGGAACATATACACACTAGAGCAACCTTGGAGCATATACACACTAGAGCAACCTTGGAGCATATACACACTAGAGCAACCTTGAAGCATATACACACTAGAGCAACCTTGGAATATATACACACTAGAGCAACCTTGGAACATATACACACTAGAGCAACCTTGGAGCATATACACACTAGAGCAACCTTGGAGCATATACACACTAGAGCAACCTTGGGACATATGCACACTAGAGCAACCTTGGAGCATATACACACTAGAGCAACCTTGGAACATATACACACTAGAGCAAACTTGGAACATATGCACACTAGAGCAACCTTGGAGCATATACACACTAGAGCAACCTTGGAGCATATACACACTAGTGCAACCTTGGAGCATATACACACTAGAGCAACCTTGGGACATATGCACACTAGAGCAACCTTGGAGCATATACACACTAGAGCAACCTTGGAGCATATACACACTAGAGCAACCTTGGAACATATGCACACTAGAGCAACCTTGGAGCATATACACACTAGAGCAACCTTGGAGCATATACACACTAGAGCAACCTTGGAGCATATACACACTAGAGCATAAGTCCAACGTTCGAGGAGGACTCGGTAATGCATAAATCCAAACTTCGAGGAATTTCGCTGGCTGCCTCCTCCCTTCACCCGGACCCTCGCTGGCTGCCTCCTCCCTTCACCCGGACCCTCGCTGG